AGTAACTGCCTTCTAAAATAAGTTATTGAAGGAAAGATAGACGGGCGGATAGAAGTGACCAGAAGACGAGGAAGAAGACGTAAGAAGATGCTGGATGACCTTGGGGACAGAAGAGGATATTTTCATTTGAAGGAGAAAGCTCTAGATCGCATTAAGGAACTGTTCTGGGAGAGACTGTGGACCTGTCGTCTGACAGATTACTGATGAATGAATGAATAAGAACAAGAAAGAGAGTTCAATCCCCTAAGAGGTTCCTTATATTTGGTAATATTCTAAAGGTTATTTAAATTTATGCCATGGATTTTCAAGAAATGGTATATACACGTACATTAATATTCCTGCTTTATAGCACGCTGCTTACCTTCTCGAGAGTGCACGGTATCCGATGGTAAGCTGACAGATGGATGATGGTGAATTGGAAATAATCTGGAAGGAAGCTAACGTGGCCTATTCGAAGTACTATCCGCCATTCGCATAGTGCGACTGAGAAAACCAACGAGAAACGTCAGCGAAAGGAGACGGTGTTTGGTTCCGATTTCGAACCGTTGGCTCCCGAATACAAGTCTAGAGCTGTACTTAGACCAACCTGTTCGGACAAATATTTTACTCTATATTTCTTTAATTTAAAATTCTTTATATAGTGTAATAATTTTGGAGATTTGATTCTTAAATACCGACATGTTAAATGAATAGAACATATGACAAGAACAAAATTGGCGGAATTTATATGCTGATTATGATCTCTTTTTTGGGAGGTTGTGCTGATTTTTTGTTATAGTAAAAGTTTTCAACACGATATGTACGACTGGAAGAGAAATTTTGTAGTTAATGCATCGTATTATTAGTGCTCCAATAAGTATACATCGTGCACATTTAAAATTGATCTTCAATCGACTTACGTACATCAAACCCAAGTGCATACGCAAGCTTAGAGCTCAATGAAGAAGGCATCAGCCTCCCTGAGAGGCTTCTGCCTACTGAGTAAAACACAACACATCGAAATGCAGACGTAGCATCCGTGCCCCAAGCTGGAATAAAACTCGCAATTCAACTGCTCTACACATCACCGTGATCGGCAGTGTTCTTAGGTCTTCCGTTATGTTATGCTTTACAAGGATGAAACCACTGACTGAGGTTCTGAGGTCTGATGACGGCGAAGTTATCAGCCTGTCAGCAACGATTAGTCATCGACGCTTTCAGTATTGAGACTACACTGCGTCGGAAGGTAAGACGATAGTGAAGGGACTGAAAAAAACACAAAAATATCTCAATCAGCGTCACCAGAGTCTAGATCGAGATTCGATCCGAATACATCCAGAATAAGAAACAAAATATTAAATATATGACAAACTATGAAGAAAGTCGTCTTCTGGGATCTGGCGCCGTGTATTCTTGGTTTTGACCGACGTTTCGGAGGAATACATCGCCTCAATCTTCAGGGTAGTTCAGTTGCGTGCGAATACAGATAGCTGTAGCTGCGCCAGATCCCAGAAGACGACTTTCTTCATAGTCATCACCGTGAAAACCTCAAAACTTACGTATGACAAACTAGTTTGGTCGGCTTGCTGTCGTCATATGTATCATGATTTTGGGGCACCTGATTTTAGAATAACATCTTTGAAACCTTTGCCTCCATATGTATATCCACAGGCCTATAACTATGTCTGAGTGTTTACGTGTGTTTAAGTTTGTAGGACGTGTCAGAGAGAGCCGAGAATTCCTTCGTAATTTTGTTCGAATTGCGCACAGCGGTGAGGAATCTCACTTCGTATTTCTTTAATATCTTGTCTGTGGAGTGTGTAGTATAAACGTTTACGTTACGGTTGAGGTTAGTGTCTGTCTATGCTTTCGTGTGTACACTGCAGCCATTTCAAAGATACTGTCGACCTACACAAAATGAATATAAATATTATCATGTGATCGAGTGATTATAATCGGTGTTGGGATTGGTAACTGGATTTATTGAAATTACCAATTCTGCAGCTACTCAAGAATTTCCCAGCATTTTATGGAACCCGAAGGTTCATTACCGTTTTCACAAGAGCCCTCCACTGGTCCCTATCCTGAGCCAGATCTATCCAATCCATACCATCCCATCCTATCTCTCTAAGATTCATTCTAATATTGTCCACCAACCTACACCTTAGTCTTTCCAGCGGTCTCTTTAATTAAATTAATTTTGTATACATATTTTTCTTACGAAAAATGGTGCTATACTGTACTCTTCGAATTTTATCATGTTTTGCATCAGTATTTTACTGTTGTAGACCTTCAGCTTCAGCACTTCATAGTCCTACATTTTCCAGACTTCTTTAAAGAAAGACGATGCCAGATATGAACAAAGTGCTGTAAATTACTCTGACTTTCGGATTATATTTAAAATGAATATACTATTTTTGGGTCGCTCAAAATTTAGACTGACTCAGTACAATGAGCATTTTGCGGGCCCACAATGTGAGATGTAGTCAGAATGTCCGAGATAGATCCCCACTCAGCTCAGACTCCCAGCACGTCTTGTTAGTCATCTTTAACGCAGTGCGTGAGTGCATTTAAATGCACATATTAAGGGCGTCCGGCTCTTAATGTTGGGAACCACTAAGGAGGATAATTACCAATGACCGTGGGCACGCCAATTTGGCATCTTGCTCCTAATTTGAGAATTCATTGCCATAACTCTAACAACGGCGCTTTAAGAATAAGCTGGCTATTTTGAATATCGGCAGCTTAGTTTAAAAATCATTGTTTTATAGATTGATAAAGGTTTGGAAGCCCCTGACTCAAAGCATGGGACAGGCTCGCGTGGGTGAATATTCTCTCAGAATCTTGATCGGCAACATGAGTACCTTACTGAGGTAGTTTAGTGTGCTGAGTTTCATTTCATTTCATTATATACTGGTATATCTGCTTTCACATAACGACAAGTTCTTGAGATACACAGATTCTTTATACACGTGGCTACTTCCACTGGTTCAAATCTACTTTGTTATTTTTACTACCGCTACTGTCACCATCAATACCAAAGCACTACCATTTGTATTCTCTTCAATTAATTCTATATTTTTATATTTACATTCCTCCATAACTCAGGTGGGACCTCTTTCTAACTAAGCATACTCTTCGATATTATCTCATTTTAAATAAACATTTTCCAATGCTTGTTAACTCCCTTACGTTGGCGCAGTTTTATTATTTTCTTTGATGCTGAATCGTCATTTATGCACAACCATTTACTGCATGTTTTTTCTCCTCTCAGCGTTTTCTTTCAAAGCGTTTTAGCAGTGCACGTTTAGCGCTCTTCTCCCCAGATACAGGGAATAACTTCCTTTCTCATATTCTCTCCTGATCTCTCTATTTTGAACTCTCTACTTCCGGTTATTCTCTCATTTCTTGTGCGTCCATCAATTCTATTATATTTCGCCCACGTTAGTTCCACTTCACAATACAATACCGCATAAGTCTGTTTACTTTTATAAGGAAAAAAATCTTATCTTTACACCATTGTTTTTTTGTTTATTAATTAAAGACTGGGTAACCCAGAACTTAATTACAATTAAAACTAGTTGCATAACTAACGATAATTTTTTTCTAATCCTAATATACTACGTAAATTAAAACTAAGTCACTTCCACTGAATTACTTAGTACTTTAACATTTAACTAGTTCAAACGGTTTCTTCAGTTTGAGTCTTCTAATAATATTGTTCACGTTGAGAAGTCTGGACGCTTCAATGTTCTTTTTATTTAATTTGGTTGCTAATTTACAATCTGCTCTAGTGACAGCAGAGCAATAAGTAAATGTACGGGCGTCGTAGTGGCTTGTTGTGATTACCATCCACTGATGGGTCTTCACCCGCCGCCCAAGTTAGGTCACTCTCGCTCCGTAACTGGCAGCTTTCTCTCAACGACTGCCACTCGGACATAACTGTCCAAGTTTCCTCAGACTGTGCGTACGTGAAGCTTTCATCCGTCAGGGCGTTTAAGTGATATGGAAGTACAGTTGTAGGTCTTGGTACTCGGCAGATTTACGCTCTAGCCACATTATTCGTGTAGAAAGATTTCATGGTAGCCATTGGTGATGAGCAGGGCCCGGATTTTGATGACATATCATCTTTTTTTCCTTTTATCCTATGCGATGTTCTTAAATATATAATTCTCGGATATGAGCTGCTGGTTACAGAAATGTAAATTTTATAGGTAATTTTTGTCATTTTTTGACATTTATAGGTTTAAGGTAATTTTTTAATTTTGGGGGTAATTTTTTGGTAAATTTTTGTACTTTTAAGGGTATTTCTTGTCATTTTTTTGCCATTTTAGGAAAGGATTCTTCATATGTTTTCTGAAATGTAAATAACATGGAAGCGAAGTGCTCTTTCTTTTCTCCTTTAGATCATTTTTCTGGATTTCTTCGGTCATTTTATAGGTCATTTTTTAAATATTTTCAGGTCATCAAAATCCGGACCCTGGTGATGAGGTTGACTGGGCATCAAAACCAGTCCGGACGAGTTACTCGGTCGAGAATCAATTGGTAGCCACTGAACTAGATTCTTATAGAAATAATATGCGTACATGTGTATTAATTTGCATTCACTCGTTTATATTTATTTCTTTGTTACTGATTTGTTTAATGACAATTTACTTTTCTACTAAGATTTTATGTACTGGAATGTGAGGTTGATTTTGAATAATGAATTGTACAGGATGTGCAAGGAAGCTGTCTTAGATGATTTTTAGTATTATTCCAGGATTTTCATGGGGGAAGTAAGAAAAACGACGAAAGAACTCAGTCTGTATAGCAGGTCTCGCGTCCAAGATATGAACAAGGGACCTCTAGATTATAAAGCTGGTAACCACAGAACCGAAGAATTCTGTAGAGCGTGTATGCCTTGAACACTGTTTCTTGGCTGCATTTGCAGATAAACTAGGCGTGCTTGTATCCTGATAGGAATGGATAGGGAGCTGTAGGTTCTATTTTGACAGTCTGCGCTGCGGCGGGCTGCTGTGTGACGTCAAGTGGGCGACGTCTGAACCGTAGGAAGGGAAGTAGAGACGCCAAGTAGCTCTGGCTCATCTGAGGAGCTGGTTTCTTAGGATATGTAGAGGGCCCTATTTCCGTCGCCATAGTCAGCAACTGTCAGTACTTCTACTGTACCGACGACGGTCGGACCTATCGGTTCTGCGGGCGAAGAGAACGAAGTGAGTTGAGTGTGGTTTGTTGTGTAATTAGAGCGAAGAAGTGGCGTCAAGTTGAAGAGTAAGTAGGTCTTCTGGGTTTGGTTTCGAATGAAGATGCTTCAAGTGCGATCTTATAATATCGAGTTTGCAGGAAGCTTTTTATTATGCCAATGGATTAAGTGTTAACGCAGTTCCCGAGGGAAATCACGGATGTTGGCTCAGTTCAACACACTAACAATCTAACATTTTCCGATGGATATCAGTGATACGGAGTGTCCGTTGTGAAGTGATGAATAGGAATTTAAGTTCCCCGCCTATGGATTATCTCAGCTTAACGAATTTGACACCTTTTATTTCTAGTGCCGGACCTACATATAATAACCGACATCAGATCTCTCTTTTATTTCTATGTTCTGCTGTTTAGTTATTTCCAAGCCAATATTCGAATTGATGTAACAGTTTCCGTATATCTCGCTGTAAGCTGCTGTATTGGAGATAAGAGAGTAGATGGTTATGGGTTTGACAAAATAGTAAAGGACTTAATGTCTAGGTAAATAATGAGAATTTCCGCATGGCATTAATGTTTCGAATTAAACTTCCTGGAGTAACTGGATTTTGTTATCAATTTCGCACTTTTCCATGGTAAAGATAAATTTATGTAAATCATAGTCTCCTGTGTTTTGCTGAGGTTCATGTGTTACATGTTGTTCAGTTTCTACAGAGGGCACACGTGACGGAATAGAACGCATTCAGCCACTTGATTATGCAGCACACAATTTGAATCCAAGAGTAAAAGTCAGGGAACGGTGGAGAAATATAGAGACATTATGAACTGTTAGCTTGCTGTATGAAACATACATTAAGGTGCTCCATATTTGAAGTGCAATTCGTTGAGTAAATCTGTGTTGTTTATTCCAAGATTTTGGAGAATCGCGAGTTAATGGGACAGAAGGTAAAATCAATTTGTATGTTATTTTCTTTTAAAAATCAAGTATTGACTGATCCGTGATGCATATTGAAATAATCAATAAACAATTCGAAGTTAATTCTTCGCTCTTTTGTTCAGTTACACATATTTGTTACGCAGGCACGCATACACGCACGCACACCCACAAACATTATTAAACACACCGTTTAAATCAGAGTAATACAAAAAAAAAAATGTGGAATGTTCTTCTGAAGTTGTAGGCTTTTAAATTTCGGTAATTATATATGTGTGTGTGTTCACAATTTGTAGTTTGCTTGCGATCACCCCAGTCTTTTACTTTCTGCACTAAAGTAAATAAAACAGTTAACACAAGTAGCTGAAATACAGGTTGCATTGCTTAGTGTGTAGTGGGGGAATGGTGGTGCAAACTGACGGAGTGCTTTATCCATATATTTCAGAACGATACGAGACAGTTTGTGGAAAGAATGTCAATAAGAATATAAGCGTTTTGGACTGCGTTCCTAATCTGAAACTTTACTAATTAAAATTCCAGAAAATGTCCACGTGTAAAGATCATTTAAACTTATATTCATAGTTTTATTAAGAATTTAATGTAAATCCTACGTGGCTTAAATTAATTTAATATTTATACCCACACACAAATTCCGAATTTGCTAGACGACTACGGAGTCCTTTTTTTATGAAACATACATTGGCTACGATTATGTCAGTTACCTGAAGTGGCATGCCTACTAGAGGCTAATTTCAATACATTTTTGTTCTCTTCCAATAACAAGTTCCCAAGAGCTTGTTTTCCCGATCACTATAATAGCAGAGCACTCGCGTTCTGGCATCATGTTGCCGAAATAGTTTTAACCGTCTTGTCTCCTCTCAAGAACCAGATTGTACCATTTTAACGACCCAGTGAAACTCATTTTCTCTGTGCATGTTATGGAGTAGAGCCAAGATCTTTATACAAGGTGGAAAGGGGCGCAGAAGTCTTACGGACTGCATCTGGCTCCTTGATATTTCTAACTACAGGGGGATCATCAAGTTAGTTGCCATCTGGCTATTCAGGTGCGATAAGAATGTTGTAACTGAAAGCTCTGCTTTGCTATTATGGCCAGAACCCACATTATGATATTAGGCTGATGAATTGGTGGAATATAAAAGTCTGATGCATGAAGTCTACAGTATTGAAGCAGATGCTCTTGTGCTCTGTGAATTCCAACACTTAACAAATCCTGATTTCCTGTTTCGTTGTTCTATAATTAGCTATAGAACATATCTTGCCGGTCACGGTAGCCGAGCGGTCTAAGGCATGCACTGTTTTCGCTCGCTCGGAAACCGGGGTCGTGGTTTGGAATCCAACGCAGGACATGAATGTTTAGTATGTGTGTGTGTGTGTGTGTGTGTGTGTGCGCGCGCGAGCGCGTGTGTGTGCGCGCATTTTCCTGTGTTTGTGTACAGGTAGAGGCTTTACGATGAGCTGATCACCCACCCAAGGAGTCCTACCGAATATCTAAGATATAGTAAACCGAAGTGAAACGGAGAGTTTCATGGAGGTAGGCCTAGGCCCATTGGGGCTGTAGCGTCAAAGGAAAAAATAGAACATATCTTAGCCTAAAATCGCACCCAACCTACTGACAAAAACAGTGGACTTTCGTAAAATCATTCGAAGGTACTCAGTCACGGATAAAAGTTCCTTTCATTCTTTCAAGAATATTTACTGAGTAAGATGGATAATAGAAATATTCCTTTTTGAAATCAAAGTGAAGCACTACTTAAAAGCATACCCAGCTACAATCAATATACACATTGTGATCGTTTCGGAAAATATTTGCCCAAGTAATCAGACGTTTCTTTGAATTTTCTTTGTAAACGAATATTCAGACAGCTAATGATGATGATGATGATGATGATGATGATGATGATGATGATAACTATAATTATAAACAGTTCAAATCTGTATTTATTTGTTTACATGCTGGCTTAACAGTCTATAATCAAATTACAGGGTCAGTACGAATACAGATAAAATAAAATGGAAAATATCTACAAAGGCAGAAAACAGTATCAATGAATGTCATCTGAACTGAAGGATGCTTCTAAAAATATCCATAGATGTATAAAGTACGGCGGCAGCGGAAGCACATCTACCTGCAGGGCAGTAACTAGAGGAGTACGGGATTAACAGAACACACAAGTCACGTAAACAATCGCTGTATGACTGTATTCTACAGAACAAATTGTAAAGTAATACGGCTCAGTTAGACTTCATTGGACAGATCCAATGGCTCTTTGTTTTCCTTTAAATCTAATTTGGAGCCTACACATCTTGGAATATTTTTCTTGGCACTACAGCCCCAGTGGGCCTACTTCTCCGTTCAATTCGGTTTTTCTAGATCTTACACATACGATAGGACTCCTTGGGTGCGTCATCAGCTCGTCGCAAGGCCTGTAACTGTACACAAACACAGAAAGAACACAAACTAAACATCCGTGCCCTGAATGGGATTCGAACCCACGATCCCTGTTTCCGAGCTAGCAAAGACAGTGCATGTCTTAGACCGCTCGGCTACCGTGACCGGCCACACATCTTGGAATACCTTGTTGTAATTATTCGAAGTAGTGAAATTTTGGAGGAATGGGGCAGTGTCATTTCCTTTGCTAAGTCGGCTTTGTAACACAAAGTCTGTGCACTTTAGCGTAAGTGGACATTTCATACTTTCCCTCGGTTCCCGTAATTACATTTTATTTACCAGTCTGTGTCCTGAGTAACTTATGTACCTGTTTGTTTTGTATCTTTTCCACACATTTTTAAAATACCTAAGTAAGTCTCTCCCAAGAGTCATGTGAAATATTAGCAGGAGGGCCATTTTTAGTCATTAGAATTTTCGGCTTTCTTGGTTCGTCAGATAACACTCCTTGCAAGTAAGGCACTTCATGCAAATATAGCCAGCAAATAGAACCACATTAGTGGCTAACATAATGTTATGTTGCTTATGATTCAATGTGTCGGGGAAACTGCTCTAGAACGTGTCGGCTTTTTACGTCTTCTGGATAATTTACCGCAGTCTCACACAATTGTCACTGTGCCTAAATTCGCTGAATCGTGGTTCTATGTGACGATGCATTAAATTCAGTTAGTAAGTTTAGCGCATTCATTTCAGCAGGGAACCTTACATTTTATTACATTCCCCTGTTCTTTGCACGCAGAGTTAAATGTGATAGAATACATTATAGAGACAGTTTTTCGATTTGCACAATTTGGCTCTGTTAAATAGCAACTAATCTAGAATAGTAAATTTTTTACTGGCTCTACAGCCCCCTTTGGCCTAAGCGTCTGGTTTTCAGTTTCATGATCATTTTACAAACAGTAGGACTCCTTGGACGAGTGATCAGCTTGTCGGAAGGCCCGTACCTAAACACAGGACAACACAAACACAGAATAAACACATACACATACCAAACGTCCATGCCTTGTGTGGGATTTGAACCAACGATCCCGGTTTCCGAGCGAGCTACCGCAACCGGAAGTATTTGTGTTTTAGCATATCGTATCCCACCAATGAACGTCGTGATCTTAGTGTAATGGAATTTTTACCGTTCAAGAATTTTTTAAGAAAATACTTCTGAGCATCGTCACTCATCTGATCTGCTGCTCCATTTAAACGGCTGCGTGTATTTCTTTTTATATACGAGATTAAATAATGACCGAGGTAACAGCTATTCAGGTAGAAATTAAGCAGCATTGAGAATACTATTTTACACTACAAACAATTTCTTAGAAATCCTATTGCAATCGAAAGTGAAATAACGTAGCTTGAAGCTATGTGTATTTTAGTGCACGTAGCACGCATGGGGAGAAGCGAAATGCATACAAAATTTTTGGAACAAATCTGAGGGGAACATACTTAGATGTGATGGGAAGAAGGGATTGAAACGATTAAGAAATACGTAGGGTGTAAGGGTGTGGACTGAATTCAACTGGTTTAGGTTAGGGTTCAGTGATTGGTTCCTGTGAACGCGGTAAGTAGCTACATAATTATATGAGAGGCAGTAGATTTCTCATCCAGAAGTGTTACTCTCAGTTTCCCAAGAACGAACGTACTGCATGAAGTTACTTGATATTTATGTTTTCATACTCG